GCACCGTCGTGTCCAGGAAGTGGATCTCTTGTGTGGACTGGTCCAGGCTGAGGTTGATGGTGGGATGGAAATTGTTGAAATCATGGTGGAATTCCTCAAGGGCTTCTTTTCCATGGGTCCAGATGATGAAGATGTCATCAATATAGCGCAAGTAGAGTAGGGGCATTCGGGGACGAGAGCTGAGGAAGCGTTGTTCTAAGTCAGCCATAAAAAAGGTTGGCATACTGTGGGGCCATGCTGTGGTACCCATAGCAGTGCCGCTGATTTGAAGGTATACCCTGTCCCCAAATGTGAAATAGTTATGTGTGACGACAAAGTCACAAAGTTCAGCCGCCAGGTTTGCTGTGACATTATCGGGGATACTGTTCCTGATGGCTTGTAGTCCATCTTTGTGTGTAATGTTGGTGTAGAGGTCTTCTACATCCATAGTGGCCAGGATGGTGTTTTCAGGAAGATCACTGATGGATTGTAGTTTCCTCAGGAAGTCAGTGGTGTCTCGAAGGTAGCTGGGAGTGCTGGTAGCGTAGGGCCTGAGGAGGGAATCTACACAGCCTGACAATCCTGCTGTCAGGGTGCCAATGCCTGAGATGATGGGGTGCCCAGGATTGCCAGGTTTATGGATCTTGGGTAGCAGATAGAATGCCCCAGGTCGGGGTTCCAGGGGTGTGTCTGTGCGGATTTGTTCTTGTGCTTTTTCAAGGAGTTTCTTGAGCAAATGCTGTAGTTTCTTTTGATAACCCTCAGTGGGATCAGAGGGTAATGGCTTGTAGAAAGTGGTATTGGAGAGCTACCAATGTGATATATTCCATCATGTGCCAGCAATACCCCTCTGCCAAGTACATTGGTCAAACTGGACAGTCTCTACGTAAAAGAATAAATGGACACAAATCAGATGTCAAGAATTATAACATTCATAAACCAGTCGGAGAACACTTCAATCTCTCTGGTCACTCGATTACAGACCTAAAGGTCGCAATATTACAACAAAAAGACTTCAAAAACAGACTCCAACGAGAGACTGCTGAATTGGAATTAATTTGCAAACTGGATACAATTAACTTAGGCTTGAATAGAGACTGGGAGTGGATGTGTCATTACACAAAGTAAAACTATTTCCCAATGTTTATTCCCCCACCCCACCCCCCCACCGTTCCTCAGACATTCCTGTTAACTGCTGGAAATGGCACACCTTGATTAGCACTACAAAAGGTCCCGTCATCCGTCCGTCTGTCCGTCCGTCCCCCCGGCTCTCCTGCTGGTAATAGCTCATCTTAAGTGATCACTCTCCTTACAGTGTGTATGATAAACACCCATTTTTTCATGTTCTGTGTGTATATAAATCTCCACTGTATTTTCCACTGAATGCATCCGATGAAGTGAGCTGTAGCTCACGAAAGCTTATGCCCAAATAAATTGGTTAGTTTCTAAGGTGCCACTAGTACTCCTTTTCTTTTTGAGAGATAAGAGTAGCGCAGCTGGCATGCCCACTTAACCCCTGGCCTTTTGGCTGACACTACCTAGAAGGGTGCCAGTTAATGCCAGTTGTGATGGGAATTTTGTCATGTGACACTGTTTTCCAGGAACAAGACTTGCAAATTACTTTCCCAGCTTGTTCTGAGCCTAGTGTAAAACCTGGAGCAGATTATTTTCTTCTTCCTTCTAGATGATGTTTCTCCTTTCCATTGTTCACCACAGCTATATATGGGAAATTTCTCCAGTCCTTCCCCCACACGCTGTTAGCCTTTGAATCACAGGATTTGTTCCACTCCCAACATTCCAGCAAAAGCCCTGTGACACAGCGGTCCCTCGGGTACTCTAGATTTACCAGCAGGTATATGCAGGAGTGGCTCCCGTCCTTCTAGGCTGTGAGATCCCAGAAGATTATACTGAGAGATTGCTCATCCGCCCCGAGAGCACTCTGATGGGGGTTACCACAGGTGCTGTCTTGTCACCCTTTTCGTTCAAGGTTTAGATGGGCTATTAGGGGAGGGGAGCAAGGAACATCAGGAGCGGGGCTTTGGTGACACCCAATTTTGTGGCTCCAATCTCAGCTGATCCAGCAGGCGTGTTATAGTCACTGACCCAATGTGTAGAGGAATATGGATGAGAACTAGCAGATGGAGGCTCAATCCAGAGAAGACTTGAGACAACACTGGCAGGTTTGGAGAATCAACCAGAAGCTATGGCAGTGATTACATCTTGGTGAAGGGGCAGGGCCTGATGCTTGTACCAGATTTCATAATTTGCAGGTCTGACTGAACTATTGACGGCATGGAGATAACCACATTACAGCCGTGGTCAGGACTGGCTGTCTCCATTTATGCCTGGGCAGAAGGGTAAGGCCTTATCTTTCTGATGCAGATCTTGGTAATGTCCTACAGGCGTTTACATGGACTGATGTGCAAATCTGGAGGAGCATGAGAGAGTATCCTCCATGAAATTCCAAGATTGTCCCATGAATAAGGAATGTGCTAATGCTAGGAATGGGGGGGGAAGGGGGATTGTTCATGAGATTTTCCTAATTCTTTTCCTATAACTTTTCTTCCTGGTTCAAAATGTCACAATCTCCCTGTGTGCAGTTACTACAACATTACATACCATCCTGGTGCTGAAAAACAAGTAATCTGCCAGTTAAAATATTATTTACTCAAGGACCACATTCTTTTGCTAGGAAAGCATGTTGGGATGAAAGACCTGGTTTTTATTGTTATAAGAATACGCTGGCCATAAAAACAATTGGATTCCTTCAAAATAATGTCTCCGTTTTCTCCCAAGGAGCATTAAGGTTATATGATGGGATTTTCAGAGGTGCCTAAGGGAGTTAGATGCCCAACTTTCGCTGAAAGTCAATGGAGGTTAGATTCCTAACTCCTTTAGAAGCTTTTGAAAATCCCACCTATAGATCATTCTGACTGGTGTAATGTGGAGAATACTCTTCTAGCTGTGGGCTAGTTCTGGCTAGCTTCTGTGTGCTCATGGAGAAACAGGATTTTATCCAAGACAATCAAAAAGGGAAGCATGGTGCCTGGCGGCAGGCAGATAGAGCCAGGGCTCTGTTCCCCCTACACAACAGGTGGCATAAGGGGTGGGAAATATGCAACATCTCTTAAATACACGTAGCAGCTTGTGAGTTCCCCTGCGCACTGAGCTGTGGGAGGCAGAATGCCTCCAGTGCTCTTCCTGGGGCAGTGCTGTGCCCTAAAGGTGCAATGGAGCCCGAAGGAAATAACACACCTGGGCAAGTTAGGAGACCAAGAAAACATGGAGAGGTATTTGACGGAATTTTTAAAGACACTGTTTAGTGCACCAGGATTTCATATCTAATTATCTGTGTGAATTCAGTGCTCCTAACAACACGGAACATGGACGCATGGGATCAAGCCAGACAGAGGGCCTGATTCACCGTTGTGAAGCGAATCAGGCAATAGCGTCGACTCCTACACACCAACCCTTCCCCAAGATGTGAGACTGCCGAACTACGCAGTGAGTTTAGGGTGTGTACCAAAATGTAAGGGCTAAGATGAGACCACATGCACACAGCCACTCGTGAATTAAAGAAAGCCTGAATTTCACCAGAGTCTGGTGTGGAAATCTCTCTGGGGGTGATGTGAGCAACCGCATACTACAGTTGTCCCCAAAGACCAGTAATTCATTTATTCTGCCTTTTCCTCTACAATAAATATAATGGTTACAACGTAAACAAGGTGAAATGGAAATTCTAAAAATCAGGATTTAATGACTGTGATTGAATTAAACACTACCACCCCTCCTCTCCCCCCACAAAGGCTAGGATTAGTGTCACATTTCCAGGCACAAATCTCTGTTTTTACATAAGCATGAGGGTTTCCCTCCCAAACATACAGACTCACATACAGATTCCAGTTGCACCGTTTCCTTTCCCCACTCTGCCTGGATCCGTTTAATTTAAAATCTAAGTCATTTAAATGGACATCTTAAAATACTGTCTGTCTAGGGTGGGATTTCAAAAGCACTCAGTGTTGGCCTAACTCAACTTCCTCACTTCTCCCAGTGAGGAATAAATAATAAAGTTCCTGCTGACTTTAATGGGAGCAGAGCTGGGCCAATGCTGAGAACTTTTGAGAATCCCACCCTTAACAGATCTACATTTAATGGATAACAAATACATAATTTTAATGGATCCAGTTACAGTCAACCCGTGGCAGACACATGGATAGCACTGACCTGATTATTTTCCTGTCTGGAAGGTACAATGCTGTAACACTCCGTTTACTTTGTCTATATGCCAAATTTCTTACTCAGTCGTCATTGTTTAAAATGTCTCAGGAATAACTAACTCACCCATAATGAAGAAAGCTGGCACACAGCTTAAAGCATCCTGTTCGTATTTGCGGTTTTTCAGCTGGTTGCTTCCACCTGTATTTCCAAGCTTTAATCTGTGCCTATTAAAACTTCATCTGCACTACACTCATTCTACAGTAACAGGCAAAACTGTTTGGCTGGATCCCCTACAATTATTACGTAAAAATATTGTATTACACACACACCCCTCTTATTCATATACCAGCCTTGCGTAGCCAATCCCCTGCACTTTGGAAGAAAGGTGCCGTGTATACAGAGACTGTGTGTCCCCAGCCTGTTGATGTAATGATCGCTTTCTGTCCTTTCCCAGGCTTTTAGAGAAATGTCATTCAAAACTAAGGATGTGTGAAGGAATGAGAACACAGGAGACCACCTCCCCTTTTTGGTAATGATGTACATGATGGCCCTCAGATGCCAGGCCTAGAGAGAATTTTAGATCAGCACTTAGGGTGCAATTCACAAGACCTATGTGCCGCTTAAAGCCTCAATAGAGGGCTTTACTGGAACTTACATGGTGCTCAGCCCTCTGTGTTGGTTTCATCTGCATAGGGTGAATTTAACAGTTAAATTAGATGTCACAGTGATAGCGTGACAGAAAGAGAGTGCACAAGTGAGAGCCTATATTTGAAAGTCAATGAGCTAATATGGTATTCTCTTACCTGGCTTTGGTGGCATGCAGACACAGGAGTAAACTGTGATATCGTCCACTTTAAAATTGGAATTGATTGGGTAATAGTCTGCTAATTTGATCATCTTCTTGAAAGCATCATAAATGAAGATGAAGCTGATCAGGGAGGAAAATCCCTCTTCTGTGAAGCGGGTGAAGTATTTGACCAGGAAACTGGCATCAGTAGCAACCAGAATGAGACACTGGAGTGCTGACCACAAGCCAATCCAGAGACGGAACTCCAAGTAATCAAACCCATGGTCTCTGCAAAACAAGTGTTTTAAAATAGGTGACAATGAGGAAAAAAATACTAGAGGCTGGATAATTCCATAAAGGGTTAGAGAACTTCCCAAAGTGAAACTGGGAAATGTATGGATTTTAAGAGCTGAGTTTATTAGGGTATATAAAAAGCAGTAATTCCTGTAACACTTAAACCAGTAGGCTCTGTATTTTTTTAGCCAGTGATAATGATGGGGTTTAGTTTAACAGCTGAGTTAGCAATTGAACATCTAGGGTTGTTCAGTTTTGCTTCAACCTCCATTGCTGTATATTACAGGTGACCTTAAGTGCTTTTTAGAATAAATAACATGGTTTAGCACTGCAGAAGATCAATGAGAAAATATAAACGGAGGCGTAAAAGGTCAATCCTCCAACTAGTGAAAATCAGTGTCACTCCACTGACATCAGTTTATACCAGCTGACCATCAGGCCCAAAGTTTACAACATAACTTAGAAAACCAATTGCAAATTAACTTCCCTGATAAATATCAAGATCAGGATTCAGAGTTTCCCATGCAGCAGCGAAGGGAATGCAGGACCTGCCCTCCTTTAAAAATCAATCATATTATCGAAAGAAGAAATACACAAGTCTGAACTCAAGGCTTGCAAATTGTGGGGAACAAAGGAGTTATATATAGTATTTGTTATGACTATCATATACACCTCAGTGTACCTGTTTAATATTATCCTGCCTAACTGCATGGAATTAATCAAAAGAGGCTATTAGGAGGAAGCAAATAGGAAACAAAAACAACAACAAAGATAAGTTCCTGCCAAAATCTTAAAGGAAACAACGGGGGAGCTATTAATTGGGAAATGTCCACCCACTGGGCTCCAGCGAGGCTGGAGGTTAATTTTTCCCAGAGCCTAGGATCAAAGAGGCCCTAAACCATTAAAAACCCTAGCTGAGAAAGGGAGGAGGTGAGCACGCAGCAGCTAGAGATGAGTCTCTGACAAAGAGAGAGAGAGACTGCTACAGAGGCTGTCTGCTTCTCCCAGGCCAGGAGCACAGGGGTCTGGACTGAGTGAAACTTATGCAAAACTTGCAAGAAAAGAATAAAGTTTAGGTAAGATCCAGGCAAAGGCCTTCTGTTGTTTTATCCCTCTCCTTGCTACGTGCCTTTGGGTGAATAAAATAACACTTTGTTTTGAAGAAGTTGTTTCCGAGTCACTTGGAACAGCTGCTGGACTTACAGGTACCAAACACACCGACCCAGTCTAAGGGGTGAAGGTAGTGGAACTTGCACCAGAGAAGTGCAACTGAGAGGATCTCAAAAAGGGGATTTAAAAACTCAGCTTGCCTCTAACACAGGTAAAAATCTTTTCGTGTCGTTTGAAGAAAGGAGCTCTACTCAGGGACTCCTTAGGAATGCAGGACTCACTTCACATATAGCCCAGAACCCTAAAAGAACAGTCTAGGGCAGCATTACGAGAAGATACTTTCAAAGTGAAGGGAATGGGGAAATTACTAGATCACTGTCAAGCTAATCTCTAGGACCTGTGTAGGCTAAGAACATGACCGATTGCTGACACCGACTGTCAGCAACAGGGCCCCCCTGGACTCTGCAATACTCATGGTGAAAACAGGTTAGCTGCTAATGTTAAACAGTTTTGTCTCCTCTACTCCATTATTGTAAGACTGCAAGAGTCCTGGAAGAACGGTGTCTCTATGGACCTAGCTGCATTGGGTTCTACCCTTTAGAAGGTTTCCCCTATGTAGATAGACCATCATTATACTTTGTGTAACCGTGTTGAAAATGCCTTTTCCTCATATCTACACTAGTAGCTGAATGGTTTTCAACACCAGATGACGGATACAAGGGAATAGTTATAGGGTAGGCCTGACTGGCATGTCCCCTTGCAGCAGGCCATAGCATGACAGGCAGTTTCCCTGCCTTGGTTTCCCTGCTTCAGAGTCCCCAGAAATAGTCCCCAGAGCTTTTCTAAGGGCAAATAGCCCTTGTGGGGTGAATGCATGTAAATCGTAACCGAAGTCCCACAATCATAGCGCAGAATTCCCCAGCATAGTCTGAACAGAACATGGCATATACAGCCCCAGCCCTCCTCATCACACGCCGGCCCTCCAGCACCACTTGGGCATCACTCACCAGCTTCTGCAGCCAAGCTCACTGCATACACTGGGGCTCCTTGTGTCCCTCCAATGTCCACCCCCACAAGCTCCCTGTGTGCCAGTCCCCCACCCCTCTCTATTTCAGGGACTCCCTGTACCCACACCCCTATACCATAAACCTGGGCTCAGTGTCCCCTGCAAATTCCCCTCCCTGCATACCATTCTCCCACTCCATGCCTGGGGCTCACAACCAGAGAAGTACCAACAAGTTAAACACAGGGCCTCATAAACTCCGCCAACAATAAGCATAGTACACTTTACCATGATTAATTAATTGTCCCTCACAGCACCCCTGTGAGGTAAACTTTACCCTCATCACCATTTTATAGATGGGGGGGACCAAGACAGAGAGAGGTTAGGAGCCAGATATTCAGAGCCACCTGCAGCCTCTCACTGACTTCAGCTTGAGCTACTGGTGCTCAGCAATCCTGAAAATTAGGCCCTGCGACACAGCACAGATCAGAACCCAGGATTTCCTGGCTCCTGGTCCTCTGCTCAGAGCACGAGTCCATGTCTCTCTCTACAGGCAAAAAGGGGCAACTGAAGGGCTAGCAAAGAGCAGCCAACTACAGAGAATGTGCTATAGTGGTGTCTTTGGAGACTACGTATAGAGAAGGTGAATGGCCCAGTGGTCAGAGCACTAGGCTGGGACTCAGGAGACCTGGGTTCAATTCGCTGCTCTGCCACAGACTTCCTGTGGGACCTTGGGCAAGTCACTAAGGGTATGTCTGCACAGCAGCTGGGAGATATAATTCCCAGCTAGCACCTAAAAAATAACAGCGTGGCCACCGCAGTTATGGCTAGCTTCCCAAGTGCAATTCTGCTCAATCCCCTGGGTCCATTACTCCAGCAAGCTGCTGCAGCCACACAGCTGTTCTTAGGCGCTAGCATATGTACTTCTACCGGAGCTGGGAATTACACCTCCGTGCTGCTGTACCCTTAGGGACAGATAATACATTAAAGATTATGAGGGGCTCAGATACTGAGGTACTTATCTGGCCCCATTACTGAAAAGGGACACATTTCTGATGTTTTTCCTCCTTTAAATCTGTTTTACTTCATGCCACCAATTGACTTATTCACACCAGTTTTCTAATGTTTGCTTGATTAATCACAGTGGGTTTTGGGGGAGGAGAAGAGAGAAACTTATTTCATAAAATGAAATATCATCTAATCCAGATATCTCCATAGAAAGCAACCATGCAGACATTTTCTGTAGATTAAGACCTTGATCACACTGCCTTCTATAAATCTTTTGGGAAGGCCTGCTGATATTTATGCCTGTTTGGAGTAGATCCGTGGTTTCCACAAAGGACTTTTGAACTTTCTGTGCATCGGTCCATGGAATTCTTTCTAATTTTGTTGCCACTATACAGGACGTTCTTGTGAGCAGGAAGAACTGAAATGATGTACTGAAAAGTCAGCGTATGACTGCAATTGTCACGTGGCAGTGGCTCTCCATAAATCCCACTGCTACACACCAAAAGATTTTAGTCACAGTAAGTTTGAAAACCACCTCCTCTTTAAGGGAAAAAGAGCAATATTTTGTACCTCCTATTTATTCCTGCTGCTCACAGTACCTGGATTTGGATCAGATCATCTAGGCTAGAGGCATGTTGTGACACCAAAAAGTGTTGTCCTAATTTACACCAGTGAAAGAGAAAGGAGAGGATGCCCTTCTCCTCCTCCTACAGAGGTCCAAAGGAGTTGCTTTTGCCCATCTAATCTATTTCTCGACAGGCACACCAGTCTCTCCTGCATCTTGCTGCCTATGCTCCAGGAAGATAAAGAGATGGGCCGCAGGATTAATCTCCTCTCTCTCCTCTTGGCAGGGCTGGGCTGTATGAGGGAGAGAGGCAGGAGACCCACAGTGGATAGAGGGAATCAGGGGTGGAGGTGGGGGGGAGAGGGGAGTTTCCCCCTGTAGAAAAGGATGTGCAGGGAGCACTCTGCTTATGTTTGGCACCCAGCTCCCAGGCAGAGCATCCACTGGTTTTCCTGCTGACCTGGCTCTGTCACCTGAGCTCCTCTCACACTGCCAGGCAGGGAAGAAACTGGCAGCTTCAGAAATAGCTGTGGATTTTATCTATGACCTTTTTGCAAAGGAACGTGGATTTTCTCCTCCTCCCCCTACAAAATAAACTTGGTGTTTCAGTGCCTCAGCAGGAAGCACCACAACTAAGGGCCTGTCTACACTACAGGTTGTGTTAGTATAACCTTCGTTGCGCAGGGATGCGAATAAGCCACCCCCCGAGCAATGTAAGTTATGCCACCCTAAGCACCGGTGTGCACAGCGCCAGGTCGGCTGGAAAGCTTCTCCTACTGACATAGCCACCACCTCTCATGGAGGTGGTTTTCGTATGCTGACGGGAGCGCTCTCCCATCGGCAGGGAGCGTCTCCACCAGACACGCTACAGCAGCACAGCTGCACTGGTGCATCAGCTTCTAGCGTAGACCAGCCCTAAATCTGTGGTGTGTAAGAACCAAGGACTTGGGAGAACAAGCTTTCGATAACAAAAAGAGTTTGGGGAGGTAATTTAACGGATTATGAATTTTAACACATACAATAGTGCTTGTATTATAGAAACACATGGGATCCCTGCACTAATGATTTCTGTATGACTGCACAGTTGTATACTACTAAGCTTTGGGGAAAGTTACTGCAGGAAAGAACAAAAGTTGATGGCTGAACTCACAAAAGGGTGAATGGACACTATGTTTTACTAAACTTCTCACTGTGCTGAAATAGATCTGGCTCGCTGTCTCACAGAGGCTGAAAACAGTGAGTGATCATACATGCTTCAAACACTAATGATTCTGAAATACTGCTAAATGTGATGAGACAGACTCTGAGATCATGCCGTGCTTTGAGGCCCTCATTTAAATTGTATCATATTATTTTCAGACACAGTCACAACACCACAAATGTGGTAAGGTTAATGATGAAATCAAGTGGATTCATCCCACTTCTAAATGAACATCATACAGAACTCCGTAGATAGATCACAAATATATTTTTGCATGGCAGCATTACTATATCTCAAAAGCATATACAAACATGTTTAATATTTTCTAGGTTGTGCAGAAGAGAGACATATTAGATCATCTTAATTAAAATAGCCTCCAGAAAATAGCTAGAATTATCAAGCGAGATTACTCAAAATCCACAAAGGTTAATTTCCCTAGAAACCTCGATATAATGAAGGAAGTAATGAAATTACGCTTTAGCTACCTAGACACCTCACTTTATGCCTCCTTTCTTATTGCAAATCTATTAGGCCTTTTCCATGTATAACTACAATCAGTTAAACAGCTGTCCCATATTACAAACGGCTTTGGGAGGGAACCCACTATTTTCTTAACACTGAATGTCTTTGTACTTTGAAATTCAGATCTTTAACAATACATAGTATTGTGGGTTCTTTCTTTATGGGGAGATGAAACAGATGTGGTTTGGTTGGTTCTGTTTAACTTAACACACTCCCATTTTGTATGGCATCAAAAATGTCAACAGTGCAGCAGGTAATATTAACAGTAAGGAAGTGTACTCCTGATTACTTTAGAACAGCAATCTCCCAATATGTCATGCTACTGGTATTATTGGAATAGCAAATGAAAATTCTGTGTTGGTCCAGCACCTAACACAAAGGCGTGTAAATCTGGTTGTGGACTTTATTATTTATATTAGGGTAGCACCTAAACATTTCACAGAAAAAGCCCTATTTGAATTCAGAGTAGATAAACAAAGCTATTTAATGCAACAAAATCCCATCCAGGGGATTTGGTGACAATATCTGTGCATGCCAGGGATACTTTTATTTTTATATATAAATAGCCACTTTCAATGGACCACCAGTTTAATGGCAAATTCTGCTGCCAGTGAAGTCAATGAGACTTTTGCCACCAAATTCATGGAATGGGATTCTGCCTTTATCGTATGGAGAAATCTGCTCATCTTTCTGAGCAACAGAGCGATTAAGGAAGCCCACTGTACCAACCACTCTAGTTCCACTGTAGTCAATAATACCATGCACTGCCATCTTGTCCAGTTCATTATAGCTCGGCAAAATGTCTCTTGTAATCGGACGCTGGCTGAGATTAACAAAGGAACAAAAGGGAGTTAGGCACCCAAATCCCAGTGGAACTCTATGGGCACCTTGGAAAATTCTAGCCCCCATTTTACAGCTCTCTCACCCTCACACAAGTAAATGTTCAATTTCAATGCACTTAATTCCCCCCTTTAAAAATCTCATTCCCAGCTAACATTGTATTAGCACTGGCAACACTCCTCTCCCCCTTTACTTACTTGCTGAAATTAAACAGGAGTCTTTCAAAGACAAGGACAGGTCCTGTGCTGCTCAGAATTGTGAGTGGCTGACCAGCAAAAAGGCAAAAGACCGCTCCAGTGACTGCTGTGCCCAGAAAGCTCTCCAGCACGCCCTAGGGCAAACATACAGTACAGATGTTAATTTCAACGGACACGTCACTTCATTCTCCCTTCTGTAAGCATGAATGCAAGAAGGTGTGGGGTTATATCAGATACCTACAGACTGTATGTAGGTGGGCATGAGATTAGGGTCTCATCTGAGGGCTGGTATCTAGCATAAATTCATGCCTTCGGTTACGGATTTCATAAAATCTTTAGTTATTTGTGACAATCAACGACCCAACACACCCCTCTGTGGTTACTGCAGATACCCAGGGTTTTAGCATTTTTTTTTTGCTATCCGCGGAGACGTTCGAAAAGGGCGTGAAGGATGTAGGAGCACAAATCCCATTGGCAATCTCCCACATCATGATGACAGAGCCCAAATGCATTATTTTGCAAGGTGCTTCACAATACACATAATTCTAAACATGGTACAACAGGGCTGGGGAACAACAAAACTGTGTCAGGGTTACAGCAATGAGGTTACTCTACAAAGCTTAGCCCATACTGTGGTGGAGCAGAATATTTTACAAATAAAGAAATGGGTTTAAGAAAAGCAGATTCCTCTTTTCATAACAACAGGTTTTAACGAGTGAGACTCAAACCAAACAAGATTAACTCATACAGCATTGAAGTGTTAAGACCTACGTTCATCAGATGTCATCAGAAAGTAATACATGCCACATTTTATGGTCTCCATCATTTCCTTTGGTACATGTCATGAAACAGCCTAACTGAGGAGTGATAAATGAATATGCCGTAGAAATTTCCTTGGATTTTCATGTAAGTTACTACTAAACAATATCTATTTTTCATAATGCAAAGCACAAGTACAACTTTAGTGACAGGTTTTGTTTACAAATAAAATGTAAACAGTATTATTGACAATACAACCTACTGTTTGTATGGAATTTGGAAAAAGCACTCAACCACCACCGGGAGCAGAGTTAGGTCAACCCCACCCATATATACACTTGCACGTATGAGCTTTTAAAAAACAACTATAGGGAAAAAAGTTGTCTTTAATTGAAAGTACATTTTCTTTCCACTGTCCCAAGGACTAAAAACATGGTATTTAAGTCTACTTTTAAAAAATATTAATATTCCTTTCAGAAACAAAGCAGGAGTATTCATAATTTTTTTCCCAGACAAAAATATTTGTATGTCACATGAAAATTGCTACTTAAGTACCATGCTGAACTATGCAAGAAGAGAGAGATTTTCTTAAATAGAAGGATATTGTTTATGCCATTATGTGACTCCAACTAATTTTAAAAAGTCAATGTATTTTGTCACATCCGTGATCAAAGATTGTTCATCTGCAACATGTATGGACATTACTTAAAAATGTCACACTCCCTACAGGTGTGGAGTTGGCTTAGTGTAACTGGTGATTTCCCAAACTGTATTTCAATGGAGTAATTTATTGCTATCAAGGCTTTTAAATGTTTTGCCAAGTTTTATCCATGACATTTTACACCCAATAGTAATGGTGTGTCTGGAAGGGGTTTTACACACGACCATTTGATCTGGGGTAGAAGTTTATAATGGTGGCCCTGAGTACACTGAAAATATCCCACTCTTCAATGGTGGGAACTTTAATGTAGTCCAGCTAGAAGCTTTCTTTAGCCACTCTGTTGTTTCACCCCGCTCTGAGAAGGCCAAGGTGACACAGCAGCAAGAGCATCAGCAGCCAGTTCTTGCTCCCACCACCGCGAGCACTAGTGGAGCTGCTCATACCACAGCCACTTTGGGAAGGTTTTCAGAAAAAGCTCAGTTTAGGCCCCTGCCTGCTGTAGTCCTCATCAATGGCTCTTTTCATTTATTCTTAAAAAACGTGTCCAAACTGGAAGCATGGAAGCAGAGCCATGTTAGCCAGGACTGAACTGAAGCTTAGACAGGTTGCTAGAAGGTTCTAGCAAGGTTTCTCTTCAGTAAGAGACAGTCCCCGCCCTGAAGAGCGTACTGTCTAAACAGACAAGGCAGATAAAGGGTAGAGGAAAGGAAATATTACTATCTGCATTTCATAGCTGGAGAACTGAGACACGAAATGATTAAGGAACTTGCCCAAGGTCAGGCAGGATGTCTGTGGCATAACCAGGACTTGAATCCAGATCTTCTGCGTCCCAGTTTAGTGCCTTAAACACAAGACCATCACTCCTCTCCTCTCTACGTCACAGAGCATGGTTCTATACTCACTGGAGAAGGCCTTGATTTACTTCCTACTTTCCCTTTCCATCCTCCTCAACACCTCCTTTTCATAGTTTAGAGGGTAGTTAGTGCACACGTCCAAGGCTATCGCTTGTGCCATATGCTACCTAATTCATATCCTCACTACCATGGAGAGGGACTCAATGGCAGGAGGAACCACATTTCACTGATGAAACAGCACTAACACAGCTGAACAAAAACTTCCCACCACCACTGAGTTACAGACAAGATCTTCCATTTGGAATCAGCTCACTCTGACATAGGTTTTTTCCTTCTTGGATGAACACAGAAACCTTTGACTTATTATAGAGATCAAACTGCAGCTTTTACAGACCAGTTTTTATTTTATTTCTGCACTCTGTTAAAAGGAGCTACAGTTTCCAGTTTTGTGGATTACAGTTTTAAAATGGAGCTGTTTGATTTATTACAAATACTGCACTGGAAATTTTAAAACAAAAAAAAAACAACCCAAAAACAAAACAGAACAAAAAAAAAAAACCAACCCCAAACTTAGAAACACTTTCAGGGCCTCTCATAAAAGAGCTATTTTAATATATTGCTCTTTAAACTGGAAAATAGAAATTCTGAAATATTCTTATGCCTGGAAGATTCTTATTAAAATAATGTCTACTTGAGTTATAAAGCAGTTCTGTTCTTTAGCTTTTATATTCAACTCTGTAGCAAGCATCATGACATCTCTGCCCCTGCCCACCTAAATAGCAGTCATGGTCTAGCTCCTGCAATTGGACTGTTCACCTTAGTGGATCCTATTGCAGGATTAGGACCTAGCTTGTATGTCTCATTCATAGTTCCACTTTACAGTGTGGTTATACTCTGAGCACTAATTGTAACCATTGCAACATGGGACTCCACTGTTATTCCCTCAGAATGACTCCACAGATAAAATGTGTCCAGCCTCTAGAATGATGCTAATAGCAGGCATTATTGGCTGCACTCTCTGACTTCATTATTGCCCAGTCCTGCAAGTTATTGCAAGACTCCTTGAAAAGCAGACGGCCATTACAAGGGGTCCCGGGAATTTATGAGTCTTTGTCCATTTCCTTTGAGCAGCTCGTGAGAATGATACAATTCCTCTCAACAGAAGGAATGGCATTTGTACAACTAACTCCTCTTCTCTCCTTCAGCACTAATTACAACAAGAGCATCACAGCCCACGGCATGGATTCCAACACATCTGGAATTTCTTTTCCTCAACATTCCTTAACATGGCTGTAGTTAAGAATAGTGTGTTTTCTTAGAAACAAAAACCTTGATGCAAGGTTCCAAAGAAAGATTGCATATCTGCTATTCTTTTCTGGCCAGCTCCCTGGGTCAAATACTACAAACTGTGATGATAAACATTGATTCGGAGTATCAGGCCCTGTGATATTATTTAACTATCCACAAGAAATAAAAGCCATAAATTGTAACAATATGCATGAATCTCACTTCCTGAAACATAGTTTGTATTGGTGACAAACTACTGGAAAACTCTCAGGGCCAGATCCTCAGCTGGTGTACAACAGCATAGCTCCACTGGAGTCAACCAAGTTGATGCCCCAGCTGAAGGTCTGACCAAATCTCCTCTTTTCAGGTAACCCAGACAGATGGAACCTCTCTCTTCTGAAGAATCAATTCCCACAGCAGTCTCTGACCCATAACACATCTGGTTTTGATAATAAAAGGTATTGCTCATACTTAAAGGTTTCTTCCTGAAAATAAAGCTTCCAAATATTTACTCAAAGTGGCCCAGGGCCTTGCTGACATCTGCTCAATTAGATCTGCACTTTCTGAGAAGTAAATGAACCTGTAGCCACTTCAGAAACTTTAGAAGTTTTAGGTGGGGTATTCAAAAGCACTCATTCAAAAGGACTCTTCACCCACAGACATCAATTACCATCAACTTCAGGAGGAACAACGTTGGGCCAGGGCTCCTTGCTTTTGAAAAAATCACCTCCTTGGTAACTGAAGAAACTTTGAGCACAGAGAATGCTCCACTATGCCTCTGCATTACAAAGCAGCCAAGGGAACTGGAAGGTGGCATTTTGCTTCATGTGGAATCCTACTATTTGACCAGTGGATGCACCACTCTTTTCAAATAACGACAGCCTGCAGGTTATCTGAAGTGTGAGGAGGTGGTGACAGACTGCTTTGGGATGTCTGCTGAGACTCTCTAGTCGCTTGATCCACCAATATATGATGCCCAGGCAGATTTGGGCAGCTTCGGTTTATTAGAGTGGTGTTTTTTGGTGGCACAATCTCAGTAATGATTTTCCTGTGCTTTGTGCCAAATTTGTGAAATAAAATTAAAAGTCTAAATCTACTAAAGGCATTACCAACCCAGGCTGGTGTGCATAGTACATGCAACATCCCTTGCAGTGTCAGTGCTCCGTTTCTGCAGTACAAAAGGCATTTGTCTGGGAAAGCCCCGAGTGCATTGAAATGTATGCATAGAGAGTGGCTGAAAGTCTGACTGGAGAATGATCAAATCAGATGTTGAACAGCTCAGAGGGTCAGAGTACTGTGAAAGAGGGTTACTCACTGAGCAGTAAAAGAGATTTGGAAAAAGCAATCTCAGGCCATTTTCCCATACTTTACACTTCTATAACTCAGGAAGATTGTGGTCAGGGTGAGGCTGCTTTAATTCAAAGCAGAAACCATCAGCTCCCTTCTTGCTTCCCAGAGCCAAAACCAGCTGTGGCTTCTGTTGTCCTTTTCTGTTTTGGTGAGCTTCCCAGCCGCTCATTTAGACAGAAGCAATCTCCAAGTATAAAAAGAGACAGGCAAGCATGGATCTCAGACAACTCCTTGGCCTGTGTGGTGCTGCTCAAGGGAATCTGCAAAGCAGGAGCAGCCCAGAGAATGAACCTAGTTTTTGAAGAGATAAGAGGCTGCATTGTGGGGTAATGTCTATGTTGACTTTGCCCCACGCAGGTGTTGGTGTCAATCTGCTTTGCCAGGCACTAGCAGAGTCCTCGCTGGATGGAGAAGGAAGACAGAAGTTTTGTTTTTTTTTTTAGAAGAGGGAGAAAGTGAACTATCAGACTTTGGGGACATACTCTCCAACAGAATGACCCAAAGAAACTTATGAGAACAAGTGTTCAGATTGCTTCTATTTCTCTTCTCCAACTCCAGGCAGACAGCAAGACAGAATTCTGGTGGAATTAAGTAGGATTGCAGACTTTTTCCCATTCAGTTTGCATGCTGGAAATCAAGCCAGTGATGACACCGTCTAGAGATGTTAAACTTAGCATTGTGTGTAGTAGCTAAGAATTTCATACAAATCCCTGGAAGGGATCCTGGTCTTCTGAGTTTTGCCAGTACTCACTCATGATAACTTGGGAAATCTATTAAAGGCAGAGAACACTTGTAGAAGTGATTTACACTTCGGATATCGGAGGTTGTGCCCACACTAGCAATTTTCTAAAAATACTCCAACAGTATATGAACCCTGGTGTGATTTCATTGGTGGCAGCATTAGTGTAGAGAGGTAGCTGGTGTTAATACCACCATGTTGTCCACTCCTGTTCCAATCAAATCTAATGATGGCTAAACACACTACTCTCCCACCATTGCTACCACGTGTAGAGGTGCAGTGGTGAGAGAGGTTTTTAAAAAGTGCCAGTGTAAACAAGGCCACGCCACACATTGAGGGCGCTCTCCCAGCTCTGGAAGATGCAAAGGGTGAAAGAGGTATTTGAAAGACAAGCAAACAAGCAAGAGAAAGCATTCACAGGACTCAGTCATGGGTTCTCTCTGCTTCTCCTGGAGTTTTGTCCTAAGACGTTCCATTTCATTTATGTTTGCCACAGAACTGCTGTGTGACTAAACCAGTCTTTTTAAATGCAGGATACTAGCACGTTCCTTTTTCAAAAATAGAAGTAAATTATTTTGCACTGAAAAGTGCAATCTGGTAGCTGTTGCCTTTCTATGGGCATCTTCTTTGTCACAGCTGAATTAGGTATAACACAGAGCAAGCAATAAACCAGAGCACCGAAGTCTCTTTTCTTCCCTCTCTGTCCTCCTTCACCCCGCCCCTCGTGCCCAATCATGGCTTCAGATTCTCAGAGACAAAAGACTGTCACGTTCATCAAACAAATTCCAGATTAAATCAGAGGAAGGCAACATGCTCAGATATAAAGAAGGTTCACAAGGTTCCTGAAAGAATACCTTTAGCCCAGCCCGCAAGGTGTTAAACAAAATGTGTTTATCACTCTCTGCACCTGGCAGTCTCAATATGATGAAAGATAACAGAGGGCCCCTACTGGAGAATAAAGATGATCAACTTTTCTCTTGGAAACTTCCCACATTCTATCATTGCTTTGTTTCAATGTCTCACAGCCTGGGCCCCAGGCAGCAGAAAGTCTCCCAGGGAAAAGGCAGAGACAACAAAAAATGGCCGGGACAGAGTAGGCCCAAAGGTGGACAGCAAAGTGTGGGATGGGAGTATGACCGGGGTAGCCAATGCAATGCATCTCCTCAGCAACTCCCACATATGGGTCTTCTGTGGAGGCTCTGGAGATGCCCTTCTGTTGATGGAAACCTCAGAGCAGAGTGGCAATGGACATACCTCTCTGCCCCAGACCCAATCAGACCCAACACTGAGAAGTTATTGCCCAGTTATCAAAATTCATTGTGAAAGCACAATAAACTTACCCAAAGTATCACAATCTTACATCAGTAGCAGTCCTCAAAGGATGGATAGCACACAGTTATTGCTGCTGTTGTTTTGCTTACCCAAAATGTTACTTTTTTATTTGCTAAAGGAATGGTAAATCTATGAGTTCTCCAGAAATCTATCTGTAATGAACATGTGACATGGTTTAATAGGTAAGAGGGGCTTTTTATATGTAATGGTCATTAGCATTTTCCATCAAGAACCTTCATGTGGATTTCTGAATTTTGTAGCATTTAAGTTGCTAATGCAGTTTTTGTTCCCTAGGTAAAAAGTTAAGCATTAACCTCAAAGGTTTTTCGCCTGAGTTAAATAAATGGCTGTGCTGATATTCTTCTCCAGTGCATTAAACTCTCTGGGATATCAGCATCCCTTTTTTCAGGAAATTTCACCTTCTTCTGGAGCAGAGCAGGGCTATTTGTTCTGATCCAGTGGGCATATGCCACAGAAAGATTATCATTGGTGGTTGTGGGTCCTTCTCTTCTATATCTATTTTCTCTTATCAATTTACCCTATGGGCCTGCTGTGGAGATGGGCTTTTGAGGTTAGTCAGATTTGTATGAAGAAAGGAAGTTTGATGCTCTACGGCTGCTGTATTTTATTTGGTTCTGTCATTTATGGCAGGGGAGTCTAGAACCTTGGCTAGGCACCCCCTGGTATTTGTTTGTTTTTAAATCAATAAATTCATTACTGTTATTGTAAATTTAATTATTGTTAGGGCACTCAGAGCTGCTCGATGGGAATTATTTAATTGCAATTGAATCTAAATAAATAAAATAAATATTTGTGGGTTTTCAATTTGAAAAAGGCCAAAGGAGAATTCAAGCGCAGTTGAAATGTAAGCACAGTTAGGTCTCAGATAAGCAATAGACAGTAATGTTAACATACAATTATTTTTGTTTGGACTTCTTATATTATCGAGCCACATCCTAACACTCTCACTTTAATCCTTGCTCATGCAAAACTCCCACTGACTTCAATGGAGAACTGCCTGAGTATCCAGTAAAAGCGTCATATTTGACCCTTTTTTATTAATCATTCTAAACGGCTTACATTTTGTCTGTAGTGTCCGTCTCAAAACACATTCTAAACAATTCCTCAGTCTACTTCCTTATCCCTTCTGTTTCCAGTGGACAACCGCACAGAAGTATTTTTTTGAGACAGGCAGAAAACCCAACAAAGTTAAGCGTCAGGCAGAACATGCCCTGTTAAGCTCTGAGGACATGGAAAATGTGAATCAGAATTAATACACCTAGTTCAAATTAAATAACACACAAAACCAGTTAGCACACTTGAAGAGCACCAGTAATTTTGATACAGAAATGCCCCCCCTTTTCTCTTACCTATTGCTCGAACACAATTTAATATAACTGCATCTGCAATTGCTAAAAGAACCAAAGTACAACAACAGGCACAGAAGTGAGGTCAGTTTTAGTTAGAGCAGCAGGATAAATCTTGTGCTAAGTAACCAATCTTTATACATGGCCCATCTGCTTCCCTGTTACTCTCGAAATGAGGAAATTTGGGCCTGCATTGTTTGTATGAGTTTGAAATTATTTCTAACCTGCATGTTGTCTGTAGCATCACCAAGCAGACCTCCAAAAGTGATAGCATTGGTCACTGTGGCCAGGTAGATGAAGAGAATGGCTGAAAGAGCTTGGATATTTAAAGCATCATAGAAGTCACTGGCGAAGAAAGGTATTTTCCTCTTTATGTCTTTGACTAAACCACCACAAAATCTGAGGATTAGGCAAGAGAAGAAGAAAGTGAAAAAAAAGTCTTACAATAACATTTACCATGATGAGCAACTAATCAGGGACATTATCAGAAACAAGGGGCTATGCAATCCGAAAAGATATGGGTCATTGCAGTTATTTCTACATAAGGCATAAATCAATGGGTGTTTGAGCCACATAACCGCTAAATGGAAAATGCTTCAAAACATTCACCAGAAGTAGAATTGGGAGTAAAACAGTACAGACAAATGAAAGAGGGGGTCATAAGTCCAGTGGCTCCTCCTTGATTTGGAGGGCAAGGAACACTCAAGCTATAGGAAGTACATTCTTCTTAAATAATCAGGAACTGAATAGAATTTGGTTTGTATAAGTTTCCGGTGGGCATTCTACAGAGGATAGGGTAAGTAACGTCACACTACAAGAGTGACTTTGGTACCGAAGCCCATTGGCTTCAATCACCCAGAGTCAGCATGAGAAGCACAAATCTCACTTCTTATCCTCTCACATATAGTCCACCACCAAGACAACCTCATCGGTATAATTGCATTTGACCCATCTACCTTCCAAACTATTTACTGATTGGAAGATAACAAATCTGTAATGTTCTCAGGCGATTCAGACACGGCACATTAAAGAGATGTGATGGCAGACAAGCACACAGGACTACTGTTATGGTTCTTTGTGACAACATGGATTTCTTGCCTTTCTAAGAAGGAACATTAACTCTAACTTGTAATGGCAGGCTTTCAGCTTTTTATTATTATTACTACTTTTAATACCTACAAACATTCTAATAATGTTTTAACTGATATCTAACTTATAACCTTAACTTTATCTCAGCAAAGTTTTATATTTGGGAATAGTCTTGGGACCTCAAAGCACTTTATAAAGCACCATGTTGCTAAGAAATAGTAATAGCCTGGAACCATCATCTCAAAAACTGAGGAATGTTACTTCGGCTTCCCATCCAGTCTGGCAGTCTACTGAGTGGGAAAAGAGAACAGTTTGAGATATCTCCCTGAGCTACACCTCTCAATTACAGTAAAACACTACACTGACACTGAGTTGCCGAACTGAACCAGGCCTAATTCTATGTTCTGTTACATTAGATTGAAACCAATGGAGTTCACTGGCACAAAACTGAAGTAACAGGACAGGGAATCAGGCCTCATGCAACATTATCTTCTCTGTTTCTATTAAATCTCTCTTTTGAGCTCTTCTACATTGTAATGGGAATGTCAGGAAACAGGATCTCTCTTTTATTGACAATTGATGGCTTTGAACATTTATTGTATAAACTTGTGATAGCCTGCAAACAGCTAAAACATTTCCACAAATATGAATGGAAAAGAATTGGTATTTAGGATGAACGTACTTCATAACAATCAGCGTAATTTCACACATCCATAGGCCAAGCATTTTACAAGTGACTAGCAATTTGGGAGTTCTCATTGTTTGTCCCAATCTAAGACACCTTGAAGGGGTCTGCTGGTCCTCGGGATCCTTTAAAACGTCTCAAGCTGGGCACCCAAAAATCACAGGTCACTTCTGAAAGTGGTGGCCATGTGTATAGCAGGTGAAAGCAATATTATAAGATGCAAAGTTAAAGGGGATAAAAGGGCAAAGCATCATGCTGAACAGGTCAGAGAATTCATCACTGACCTGCCAGTTCGTTGTAGTTCTTCAGTGTCGCCGTGGCCCCCACCTCCATGGCCCCCATCATGAGGCGTGTCTCCATTCATCTGTACATTCTCCCCACCCGAATACATGTTTTTCCTATGCAGAAAGACAAGTCACACTGAGGATTCACTGTGTTACACACTATAGGACGCAAATCTATACCCAGCTCCATCACACAAGCCTTATGAACACAGAATGCTCCTGCTATACAAGCAGCCAGACTGGCATGCTGCAAATAAGGGATTAACTCATTGCATACTGGAAGTTGTAAAATAAAATTCAATATTGAGCTTAACTACAGTTACAAATGGCTTGCTGTATTAGGACACACCATTCTCCCTCTGAACTGCTGGTACAAGCACAGTGCTGCAGGGACATTCCCCACAGGACTATTAGCAAAGACCTGAAATTACAGCATAACTCAACATTCTCAGACACTGCTTTCAGGCACATTCTCTTCTATCGTCTCATGTGGAAAATTCAATGCTAAGGGGAAAAAATGACAACTCCTCTGCTCCCTCCCCACCCCCCTACTGCCCTCCCCTCCCACTGCAATGTTTACTTACTGCACTTGCAACCCTCATTTACCTGCTTTCGTTCCTCAAGCTCAGAGAGTAAATGCTGTGGACCCAACCCACGTGGCCCGGCCTGTCTTCCTCAAGATACTCAACCCCAGTTGCCCTGCACACTCTCATAACTGAGAATGGGAGTCAGCCCTGCTTACATAAACATCGCTTGCTTTAACGTAACACATGTTCTTGGGTTCCACCTATCGCACTCCTTTCAACTTCTCTAGTTAACATGCTGGCCCAGAATATCCTACTCTCTTGTCACTGACATGAGCCCTGCTACTCCCTGCTGTTACCTTTTATCAGAAGATGGGAGAGATTTGGGGGGCTCTATCCTGATGGCTGGGTCCCACTCCCCAGGTGGAAGCACAATGACTTCATCCAGGAACTCATCGATTCCAGCGATCAGGTCCTGCCTGTCTTTGGCTTTATAGGCAATGTCATGGAACACCTGCAGGAGAAGCAAAAGTCTCAATGCAGCAAGAAGAAAAGGAGTACTTCTGGCACCTTAGAGACTAACCAATTTGAGTTTTGCAATTTTCTACAGCCAAGACTTACAACAGATCTTTCAGAAAAGCTTTAATCAACTCCCACTCAACACACTACAAAAAGATAATATCAGTGGTGCTTGGGCCAGTCAGATACGAACCGCCGAGCAAAGCTGGCCAAAAAGTTTTTTGAACGAAAAGATTTTAAAACAAAAATGGCCTTTTAAAAAAAAACAAAAAAAAAACTGCCCCCCAAAAATGTGACTTTCTTGACGTACTTTGTTTTTCACAACGTTTTTATGAAAAATGTTAGCAAAATTTTTCATTTGCCACAAAGCCAGCTTTCAGTCGCCAAAAAATTTCAACAGACATTTCAGTAACACTTTGTGTGGGGTCGGGAAAAGTCAAAGTCACTAAAAATGTCAAGAAACCAAAAAAAAAAAACCTAAAAGAAACGGGGGGGGTGGAGAAAGGGTGAGTCAGTTCTGAACCCTATGAAACAGAAACAACTTCAACATTTTATTCAGTATTTTTAATGAAATGTCTTCTAGCCACCCCTACTGATAGGGTCAGAGAGTTTAAGACCCGAGAGACCTCCAGCTCTCCTAGACTGACCTCCTGCATATCACAGGCAACCCAGCATCCACACACTAAACCCAACAACCGAAACTAGACCAGAGTATTACAGCCCACAGGAGACTAAACCACTGTGGGCCATAGGCAGAGAACAGAGGGACTGAGGTGCACCATTGTCAAAGGTCCCTGCAACACAGGGAAATAATTTAGTGAGACATACCAAGTTGGGCCAACTGGAAGTAAATGAGTGAGGCTGTAGCCAGTGGTTAAAGAGAGACAAAAGAATACTAAGATTTATTTTCATAAACATATTTTGAACCTTCCAGAATGACAATTCAGGTTGGGGGTAGGGGGGAGATCAGCATACAGAAGTACTTGAAAACTGGTGGATTGTAAAGAGGCATTGGAAGAATGAGAGAGAGGGCACTTTGTGCTGAGCACAGGGGTGGAATATAATAAAAGGCAGAGAGTCTGAAGTGGGTAAATGAAACCAAGGGAATTGTCAGAGAACAAAGGAGGACAAGAAGAAAGAGAAAATGCTAAGATGTTGGTGAAATACAGTTGTGCAGAGGCCAAGAGACACTGTGAAGAAGGATGTTTACCTTAATGCAGACAGCATCATGTCACATTATTGATGTGTATTATTAGAAAGTAATTACTAGGTACAAAGGGGTAGTGTACAATTATTAGTTAGTTAAAGCAGTGCTCTGGGACACAGGGCACCACATGCTGAGTGTAACTATTTCGACAATAAGATGCACTGTCAGAGTTGCTGTGGGGTACCTGTGATCTTGGAATGTGAATAAAGAAGCACAGTTTATACGTTAACTCAAATGTATTTGAAAGAATTACAGATTACAGGTAAAGATGCAGAAAAGAAACACATTCTAGTTCTACACATTTACAGAAGCGTGGAGGCAGATTAAATAATTAAGAAAAGGAATTTAAAGATAATCAGAATTTGATATCTCAGCTGTACATAAATTCAGCACTCATGGATCCATCACCCAATTTGCCATCGGAAGCAGCCTCATGTACGATACTGATATATGGAACCCAAAAAGTTACTATACAGAAAAAGAAGAGGATGGCTACCATCTAGGTCGATGAAACAACAACAGAAAACAACTGGACATGGTATATGCAAAGATGCCTACCTCATCGGACATCAAAGTAGCAATGGATCGACCAATCTCATGGTAGGACTTAGCTTTTCCCTTCGGACCCAGCAAAATGAATAGAAATCTGACCAAAAACAAACGGATCGTTACCATTCAGGATAGCAAACTGCATCATTTACTCATTGTACCACAAATCCATCTATAATAAATAAAAGGAGTGAACACAGAGATTCATCTTTACAAGGATCATACTGTAGTAGTTAGAGATGCAATCCATTCCACTTCCCTGTAAAACACCCACGATATAATCAGATATTAAGAGTGAGATTTTCAAAAGCACTCCACCTTGACCTAACTGCTCCCATTGAAATCAGTGGTAAAACTCTCACGGACTTCAACGGGACCAGACGTAGGCTAGCACTGGGCACATTTGAAGACCTCACTTTAAACCCACAACGCAGTTGTATTTAATCAAAGAACCAAGGTGAATCTTGTTTCAGTGTACAGTAAATTCAGGTAAAAGTTGCAGGAAATATGAGGAATCCAGGAAAATTTGCAAAATGCATTATTTTAAGCGTATGGCTTGGGTTTTCAGAATTGCAGAGTCACCTCAGCTCCCTCTGATTTCAATGGGAGCTCAGCCCCCTTCATAGGCCATTGGCCCACAGGAGGAATGAGAAAAGGCCTTTGTGTCAACAGCATAACTAATGTATTTCTTCCTCTGAGATTCACACACTTCAGATAATCAAAACTGGCTACACTAGCAAATTAGGGGATCAAATTCTTCCTTCCGTTTATGTGGTCCTCAGAGTCTTTCCTCTAAAGACCTAGGTCACTACACACACACACCCCGGCTCAGATATCAAGCAGGTTTCTTTGTATTTTCTTCATCAGACAAGTGCTGTGATGGCACTACACAGAGGGGTCTGGCCCCCAGCAGCAACCCATGCAATCTAAGTCATGAGCCAGGTGCAGGCAGCAGCTAAAATGCAATACTGTCCAAGTGTGATATAGCCCAGAGGTTCCCAAACTGGACTCTGCAAACCTCTGGAAGTCTGGAAAGCGCTTGTTGATGGTCACATAATGCTGGCCCCTTTTTGTTTCCCGCTGCTAAATTCCCTTAGAAGGACAGCTACGTTAAATATTTCCCCAACATTGTTCCTGTTCCTAGATAATCCTGTATATGATGGGTGTCGTCACTGCAACGGCTGGAGAAGGGATGGAAAGAGAGTCCCTCAATTTGTGGAACCCAAGCAAGGCAGAGTTCTAGCCCTGTGCTCAGGGAGGGGTGCATGGACTGCTCACTCCCTTATCCCTCAGAGCTCCCCTGTGCTCCCAAAAAGGGTGGGACCACGACTCTCCTCATCCATCAGTCAGCAAAGCAGACTGGCCTCCTGAGGTCACCTTAGAAGGAGAGCAGCAGGCATCCAGGCCAGGTAAGGCAGGTGAGCTAGAAGGGCAGTGTGGGGTGCATTTGTGATGGTAAGAAACTGTTTTCAATTTCTTAAATTATTTATTAAAAACAATATCCTTGAAAACATCTAATATTTCCTTTCTAGAGCCATCAATCCCACAGAGCTCAGAAACACACTGCACTGCATTTGCTCATCAGTGCTTCTCTGGGGATGAAATATCTGGAGGATTCAGCATCCAGGACAGCTACTCATGTGTGAAGGAAAACTATTCTTTTAAATCAGCCTTTAACTCTTAATAATTTAGCTAAACTGATTGAGCCTGGCACGCCTTGTGTTCCTGGTGGGGATACACAACACAGCCTTGCTGATAGTAAATGCTTCATAGCCACAGTTCATGGCAGATATTCATGTAAATGGATTATATTTTTAATTTACACATATTGCAGGGATCACTATCTACAATATACTAAGTGTTAATCCTTTATTTGATACCTGTTGGACAACAATTGCTTATTACTATGTGCACACTTACTTGATAATATCTTCAATATGAAATCATTGCTCATTACCTTCTCTGCCTTTGCTTCTAATCACTGCTCATGTATTTTGAATGAGAGAAAGTAGCATCCAGAAAGCTCAGGCTGCCAGAGCTGAGGTGCTAACAAACAACCTGCTGACCCGTTATCTAGGTCTTGCAGCCATGTTTTTATTTTTAAAAGGTGCCAGACTGACAGCTGTCTATCTACGAACAGCCACAGTCTAGGCAGCAGGAATGCTAGCTTCCTACATTCACCCTGCCCCTGTAGCTCACCCATGAATGAGCTGGGTCACAGCTGAGCAATGGAAGGGTAGTTCAATCCCCAGGCCTGACCACTGGCATCTCCACTGTGCTTGCTGAGAAGAATGCCCATTCATTTTGATGACAGTTTTGTGATATGGCCACCTGTTCCATGGGAACTGATTTGAGACAATGTAGGCCAGACAATGCCAATCTGGCATCCAATGCAACCTCAATATGAAAGATGCTGTTATCCAGTTACCAACCCACTCCCTTAGCTCGTGGCAACAGAAGACAAGACAGACGACCTGTTTTTAGGATTTCAGTTTACTTAGCAGAGCATGGGAATTATTGCAAAAAAGACAATAATTTTCAGCAAATCCTGTGTCTCACCCTGGGTTTCATGAAGAAACACTACATAGCAGCGCAAATGCACTGTAAATCCATTCGGTCTGGAAAAGGGGTCAAACACAGGCACAACAGCCATATTACTGCACTGCTCTCTAGCAAGAGATTAAGGACCAAACTCAGCTTGATGTAAATGGACACAATCCTCGTGCATCTCAGTGGCAGTCAACACCAGAGATTTTGGTGCCGAAATTAAACCCAGCTTGCTAGAGGGATACATGAGGGGTCAGGTGCCATGCCTGCTTATGCTAAAGAATATGGACCGAAATCTCTACTAAATGGCATAAATAAGCATCAGAGTTCAATTTGAGGGGGAAATGTACTTGTGATGTGGTGTAGAGACCCCACACTGGGTTGAGGCAAGAGCGAGCCACACTGTCCTTGGGCCAAGCCTGCCTGCAATCCCTGTGTGGTAGCTGCTAATCCAGGAGGCTGGGCACTCCATATATAAAAAGCCATGGCAGAGCAGGAAGTATCACAGACAAAGTCAGGACTGCCCACACATGGGGAGAACCCCTCTCCCGCCAAAGCAGGAAAAAGCCAACGCAGGAATTTCCTTAAGGGTTAAAGGCAGTTACTTCAGAAAAGGGTGTTGTTTTCTAGTTTGTTTCACTGTTGCTATATATTTTGTTCCCTTGATCAACAAAGTGATTGCACATGCCTCCTTAGCGGAAGGGAAAGGCCAGCTGGGTTAGTTTTCCATCAGAAACCGATGGACGCTGGACTGGACACTGCTTGATGGCTGGGGCGCTATTTGTGGTTGATCTCTGGGAGAAGGAAATGAGAACTCCAGACAGGTGAAGTTGTTTGTTTTTTCCTCCTTCACCACACATGAAGATTCATTGTTTGGGCACCTTATCAACATGCCACCCAGCCGGTTGCTTGCATGGTGTTATACAGCAGCAGAGACTGAGAAATGTAAACCCTTGTTGCCACGAGTCAGGATTCCCCAGAGAATGCCCCAAACCTGGAAAAGTTCCAGTGAGATGCAGTCACTGAGACGAGGCTAATATTCTGAACAATGAGCAAGACACACAAATTGTGTCTACACTTAAAAAAAAAAAAAAAAAAAAATCAGACCAAAGAAAAGGATGATCTCATTATTAACCAATGAACTGGGAGTCTGGAGATCAGGTTTCAACTGCCACAAGCTTCTTGTGTGATCTTGAACAAGTCACTAGATTTCAGTTGAGGCTTCAAGGCATAATAATGGTGCTGCAGAATCACAAATTCGACTATGCAGTTCTGTACCGATAACCCCCGCCCAGATACCCTTAAAACTCCTCTCTTGGTGTTTCTTGACCATCTCCCCTCATCTTAATGCAGCAGAGGGGGGAGATCTGAAGGTAATCTGCAGAATTTTAGTCTAGAAGCTTCATTAAGACCCACCCAAGTCATTAGCGTAAATGTGGTAAATAAGTGCTTGTGAAAGTGAGAAATTCATAGCACTGTAGACTTAAAATTAATGAGTAGAGACAACAGTGAGCAGAATAGACACGATTTTAAAAGCCTGGGAAATCCAAACTAATGGGCAGACAGCACAGGGTGAAGGGCTAATGATGCCTCATGGAAAACTCTGAAAAACATTCTATTGCAAAACAGCTGTACTTACAGTTCCTTATCTGGATTTCAATTCCCCTGTTTTTTATTGCCAAGGATGGTAAGATGGCATAAGAACAGGGTCTTTGTTCAGCCAGAGCTCATGGGCTCTTCCTACTTACTTTTAAACAAAAGTTCTGTTTTCATGTAAATATTCTTAGTAACGAAGCCTAGGCAGAATGATTTCTAAATAGAAAATCTTTCAAAGATTTCCATTAAGCATCAGCTGCTCTGCAACTAAACATTATTCTGAAATCAAAACCAAACAACAATTAGAAGCAATAAAAAAGGAATACAGAGCCAATACATAACAGGCAATCAGTCTGCCCGATACAGTCTAAATAACCTATACAGTAAAATGTGTTTGTTCTCCATTTCCAAAGCAACATGAAGAAAAGGAATGAGGATGAAGGGGTGCAGAGATTAGCTTTTCACCCTGTGGAGAGCTCAGTGCAAAGCCTACCCATAAGCCATAAGACTTTGGTGCTTGCATCCTCCTCCTCAACGAATGCCCCCTGCCTCCTTGAAAAGTTACAGCTGATATGTTGTCCATGGGAATCAAGATTAATTTGCTTTGTTGTTGCTTTGAAAGTGGAAGCACCAAGATGTCTAACATACTTTTCTGAGTAGCCATGTTATGTCATCTTATTATTAGGAACTTTTTCTTTTCCCTTGCTTTCCCCCAGGTTGTTGTTTATGACGTTCACTACTTGTGTCAGATCTCAGTTTATGCCCTGATCCAGCTCCCATCGAGTTCAGTGGAGCAGGATAAGACAGCATCCTTGACTGTAAACTCCTTGGGGCAATCACTTGGTTCTAAGAAGCACTCAGCATATTTATGGATGCTCAAGAAAAATAGGCTAATTAATTAAGAGCATAAGAAGCAATGAGTGGGTCACCTGGTAAATACATTTCCAATTACAAAATTATACAGACACCCCAAATAAATCATCGCTCACAGTTCTAGACCAACATTTTCAAATCTGGGAGCTTAAAATTAGGCTTCTGACTCCATGTTTAGCCTCCTAAATAGAAATGGGCTGATTTTTAGAGGCACTGAGCAGCTGCAGCTCCCACTGCAATCAGCAACTGGCCTTAGGCTGCAGTACTCCGTACTACATTTGAAGTCCGTGAGAGGGTATGTTTGCAAAGCAATGTAAGTCCAGACAGGGTTACTTTGACTTGGGTCTGTGCACTGCAGTATGGATACCAGCACCCTCGGTTTGAGATGGGTCAGAAAATCCTTAACTTAAGGTTAAAATGCAATGCAGACGCTCAACCCCGGGGTTCCCTGATACAGGTCAGCTGACTCGAGTCTCACTAACCCTAGGCTTACATTGCTGTGTAGGTACAACTGCAGCCCAACTCCTCAGAAAAATTAGGCCACTCTACGTAGGAGACTAAATATGGCTTGAGGAAGTCTAAGTTTGAGCACGTACATTTGAAAGTTTTGGCTGCGGTCTTTATCAGATAACATAAAAGGGAAACCAAAAAAAAAAAGAAAAAGGTCCCACCTATTGCACCTTTTAGGATCTGAGAGTTCTGAAGTGCACTTTACGGCAGGCATGCTCACTGCACAGGGAGGTTAAAACAAACGATTGAATGATGAGCTAGTCCATCACAGCCAGAGCGGGCTCTTCTGGGATTTCCTTTATTAGATTTCACAGGATGCAACCACTGCAAATGGCTCCTCATTCCTCACAGAAGCAAGTTAATGAGCCTCCCTACTCTGATTACAACTACCATTTGGCTTGGAGGACAGCAAATGGATATTATTATTTCCTGGAAAAAATGTTAACATGGAAGGATGTATTGTTTTCAATAATGCTCTGGAATAATTTCGTGAGGTTATTAAGCTTTTCTACCTCCAACTTCTCGGCTCTCACTATCAGAACAAAGGATGTCTAATTTTACCTCTACTGAGAAACAATCAGACGTGTATTTAAAAAAAAATAAAAGCAGGATCAGGCTAGTGACTGAAGTACTGAAATGTACAGCACCCAGTAATGCTGAGACAGCAAAAACAGTTATTGCTAAAAATAATCCACCCTATTTTTCCCAATGTATTCTGTAAAAAATACCCCATAATATAAACAAATTAAACATACTCAAACATTTCTTAGCATTTCCATTCTAATGCTCCAGTGAAATAGATTTCAGACATGCACATTGCACCATTGTTAATAAGCAATGTTACCTGAACATCAGACACAGGTAAATCTCTTTGAGCCCAGTTCATGACAATTACTGACAAGTTGCCACTTAACCATGATTATTTAACTTGAATATGGGCCATTTTGATTCTGTGTATTTCTGATGTTAGTAATATAAGTTTATAAACTTTAGACCTGTGGACTTTTGACAGATTTATCTTCCCATATCAGTTTTATCTTGTGTCTTAATAGTTTGTTATTCTTTGCTCATGTGAGTACTTTATGTCTCCTCTTATGACATTTCATATGATATATATATCCTCAGACTTTCTCAGCACTATGCAAATATTACTTGCATCATACAGTGGATGCACATTAAAAAATTTTAAATGTCCACGTAAAAATAGGTATTTGCACACTAATGCTTTAAAAGTTATCAGGACATTTCAAACTCAGTATTTACAGTTAATGTAACCTAAATCTGAAAATTGATATTAAAACACTTGTATGTTGTCAGGTGCTAATATGTAATGGTATTAAGTGGTAATTGTGTATTCTCAGTAATGTATATTAATGAAGCACCTCTGCTAGTGAGGTGGAATTGAAAAAGAACGTTATGATTTAACTGCAATTCAATCTGTATGCAGATGACAAGTCTTTTGATTATAACTTTATTATGCTTCACTGGTGATTTAAGTACATTTTACTATATACTTTTAATACTAATTACTTTCTGGTTTCTGTCTGGAATACACAAAAAATGCAGCACATGTATCTAAGGTTCTACACTTTTTGAAAGTGACATTGCCGTATGTTGCATAGAGAAATAGTATGTAACTGCATAATTAAAGACTGTATTGTTACGCGTATGAATAGACCCTTAACTGTCATATATTCCATTTTGAGAGTTAATGGCCCTGATCCTGCCAATGTTTATGCATATGCTTTATTTTAAACGTATGAGCAATCTCATCCACATATTTGAAGTTAAGTATGTTCACATTTACAGGATCAGGGTTTACATTTTCTAACACAAAAAGGGACATGGTTACTTTAAAAAAAAAATCACACTTCTGCCTGAAAAATCTGCACTCCTTCTAATAACAAAGAACACCTACAATGACTATTATTGAAATATTTTGTCCAATTTATTCACTTTTCATATAGGACACCACTTTTTTTTTAACGCCAGGATTTCACCCTTTGCATCTTATCAGTTTCACTGTCCCCCTTTTATTTGTAGGGTTCTTTGAGATAACAACAAGGGAGAGAAAAGCATTTTTAAGAGGAAGAAAATGTACTTATAAAACCAGAAAAAAGTACCAGGGAATTCAAGGATGAGCGTAGTACTTTCTTTCTTTCCCCCCCACCAGATTTCAAGTTAATAGTGTCCCTTTAGTGTTACATTAGTATGTGCTTATGTATATTCATAGATTAAAGATTATTTTTATAGATTAGATATTTCAATAAATCCAAGATCCCAATTTGATTAAGCAGCAGAAGGGGTGATCCGTTAGCATAGTTCTGACAGTCTTGGTAAAAATATATAAATCCACTGCAAGTTACATTATGGAAAGCAATGGAGAAGGTTCCCTTTTGGGATGGTGTCATTATTTTAAAGGTGAAAACACTTTTCTGATTTATGTTGCATGCTGGGGGAGGCTGTCTTACCGGGTAGGAACGGGGACTTCAGTCAAAGCACCCAGCATAACTGCCTGCTGCAGCCGGACGAAGGCAATGAAAGGGTTTTCCAAGAAGTCTACCTCACCAACCAACACATTGGAGGCCTCAGCATCCCGGGGCAATTTCTTCATAAATTTATTCTTCAGCTGCGGCAGAGAGGGAAAGGGAAAAAAATGGGTTCTCTCATTAGGCAGATTAATATGACTACATAATCAAACTAATCCAATTTTAGCCCCTCTCCTGTTACACTTCCATGATCTTAGAACATCCACCTGAACATATCACCAACACTTCTTTGCAGCCAATATCTAGTATAGCCATGTTATTTTATCTACTGAGTATAGACACGCACACAGTGTTTTTTGTATGACCCACCCCCATCCACTCACAACTGTCAAGCAGAGGTAAGACAGGGAAAAAACATCCACAGTGGTAGTATGTTTCCCCCCACAAGCTAAAAGAAGTCAGATAGTTCTCCCCACTAAAACAGTTAGCAATGCTACCCTTAGGGTGGAGAGCCAAGATGCTTCTGGATGAATGGGGACAGGTCATGCCTCTTCGGGCTATAGTTTCTCTGAACTTCTAGTTTCAGGAAGACACACTGCATCAGGTCACCTTGAAGTTTTCATTGCAACCGTAAAGGTTAGAAACTTTTAACAAATGAAACCCTACATTCTGCAGGATCTGATGACACCAACGGGGAATATGGCCCACTTCTACCTCTTTGTAGAACCAGTCAGTATTTGCATAGTATATATCCTTCTGTCCTTGGCACAGTGGGAAAGCGTTAATGGAAGGATGGAGCACTCTATTAGCCTACCTTGGACTTTTAGGAGCAGAGCTGTGATGCTGATAACCCAGATTTCCCCAATCCCAACTTTCCAGAGCCATCCCATTCACTGACCCACTGGGAGCTGTGGCAGCTACTGCAGGAGTTTTCTGTAACTGCTCTGCTGGCCCCAGCTCCTAGGGTGGAGTGCTGAAGCAAGCAGGAGGCTAGCTGGCAATTGCCCTCCACTCTCCACAATGCCCTCTGCAGTCTCAGTGCAGGGCAAAGAATAGCAAAGAGGCAGCCAGGACGGGAGCAGTTGTTAGAAGCAGCCAGTGCAACACAGCTGCAGCATCCACCCATAGGCTTATCCTATGGGGGGTGGGAAAGAGATGTGGCCTATTTCCCCCATGACTTTAAGGGACCAAGGAGAACAAAGGCACATTCAACTCTGGGGAAGAAAGGGGTGAAGGGACCAGAGACATCATTAACTCTGGGGAAGGAGCAGAGGTAAAAATTGGGGGAGAAAGCAATGAGTGAGAATTTCAGAGAGGAGAGAAGCAGGACGACTGGGGTGGGGGAAGGCAGAGCAGGAGAAAGATGGGGAAGGATTCATGTGTTCCCATGGAATGCAGAGGAGGAAAAGTCCCTTTCTATTGTTGAAGGAACGAGAGAAGGGGAGATGTCTCATGCAGCTGTTCAAACACCTGCCAGTCTCCCCCAGACACACCAGAAAGGGGGAGCAAGCCCCTTGACCTTCCTCTAATGAAGACCCAGTTTACCAGTTCTCGAGTACGGGCTGGCTAGTGACGCTGGAGGATCAAAGGTCTCCTGCGCGTGTTGCCTCCTTAGTTTTGGATAAACATCCAAACTTCTAGATCTTAATCCATATCCCAAACCTTTGGAGGATCTGAAAACAGTCCTATTAAATCACATTCTAGTAGTGACTCCTCGCTCTTCTACAGCAAGTCTCAGCAGTAGATCTTAAAAGGGCTTTACAAAGGAAGTCAGTATCAGTATCCCCATTTTACACCCCAGAAAGCACACAAAGCCCTCTGAGAAGCCGAGGTGAAGCTGCTCGAGATGGCAGGATTGGCAGAGACAATATTCCCATCTCTCCCACAACTGTTGTACTATCCTGTTGCGGTCCCTGTAATGCAAAACTCTTGCAGCTCTGCGACTGGGAACGAACGAACAAACCAACCAACCAACCACACACACACTCATTTATTTACTCACCCACCCACTCTCCAGTGGAGCTGCAGGAGTTTTATAGTTTTATAAATATATAATTTGGAAAACAGTCTAGAAATTATCATATGCTGAGTAGTTTTCCTGAGGGTTCAGTTTTTTTCAGGTGATTCTTCCATTGATGTGCTGCAGGAGTTATTTCCTTTCTTCTGTGTAATTACAAACTTTTTTTTTTTTTTTTTTTAAAGGCACATAGTGATGCCTACAGTTAGGGCTGCCTAATCATCTCCCCGATGGAATTTTCTTCAGTTGTTTTTAAAACTTTCTCAACCATTTGCCTTTTGAGCTGAGATTTGCCATGGTTGGTCTCAGCCCAAGCGAGACCATTTTCCCACACAGAGAGGTGCAGGTTGAGCAAAAGCTACTCTTCATAATTGGCAGGGATGTATCTGCGTGAGATCGCCAGCATGCCCTTTGGAAGCCCAGTGAAAATCTGTTTGCATTTGGGTGAATAAAAGGCTTCTGGAAACGTACACTTTTTCCCCACCCCGCTTTCACATGTTAACGGATTCACTCACTAACAATCTCCCAGTATTCTGTTGGCATAACACCTGCCAGAGTGAGTCCAACAAGCAGAATTTCTCATTTAATGTGCAGGTGAGTATGAAATATTATCTGTGAGGGTCTGAGCAGAATTACAGATGATATGCAAAGGTGTGTATGTCAAGGCGAGGATGGAAATTTAGGGGACAAGACCAGCTAATCCATTAAATTTAGGGGACAAGAACAGCCATGCATACCCTCAATGAATTCATGTACGTTACAAAACGAAAACTCAGCTTGTATTTAAGTGTCTATGTGATATTTTTAAAAAATCGAACTGTACATAACTATTGTATTTAAAAGGCAGCAGATGTTAGGCAAGGACTGTTGTTCTTCCCCCATCCTTACCCTAATAATAGACACATTTCCCTTATTCCTGCCACATTATTTAAACATGAAAATAAACACAGCCCAGCCCGAACAGATGTCATTGCAGGTAGTACTTTAGCGATGCAACTAAAGTATCCTCTGATGCTCCCGTAACCAAGCAGACATCCATTATTTCTTAACCAAGCCATCCCAGTTAAAGTTTTATCCCACCAGAACAACTGCCAACTTGATGGACTCCATTCCCCCCTTCCTCTGGCTCAGAATACCTTCCTCTCGGAACCAAACTTTGCATGGGAGTTTCAAGCTAAATAAATACACTGTTAATGTGGAATATGTACTTAGAGAAACCATAAACACCACTCTGCCAAATCCTCAACTGTTGTGAGTCAGTGGCGCTCCACTGACTTCAGTGGAGAAATTCATTTTAATGGAGCTATGACAATTTACACCAGTTGAGGATCTGGCCTCATTGCCTCCCAAAAGCCCCAGAGTACATGCGAACAGCATGTTTTAATATTTATAAGCAGGAAAACATTAAATGCATGGGAAAAACATGAGGCTTATGCTAATTCCCCTAATCAAATCTCTGCTCGTTTTAAATTTAGGCTGCTAAATAATTCCCTGCTTGTTAAAGCAATGCTGGAAGAATCAACACGTACACAGGAGTCAGGACATGCTCTGCTGAGGTCGTCAAGGAATCCTCTCACTGAGTTCTAGCCAGGGTTGGATTTCCAATTAGGTACAGTAGGCATGTGCCTAGGGGCGCCTAAAAGTCGAAAGTGGGTTAAAAGTTTAATTTTTTAAGGAAAACATGAAGGTCAGCTGTAGGCAGGGGTTCCTGAAGATGCTGTGCTGAGGGGCGCGTAAGGTGTAACTCTGGCCCTGGTTCTAGCTAGTCTGTAAATTCCAGAAGGCTTTACACTGCCAGGAAGGGCTGGGGAGAGGTAGTGAGCAGGGTCCACTGGTGCATGGAAGCACAGCATTTCCTGCAGGCTGGCCCTGAGGAGAATCCAGCAGGGACAGACCCGCTGCTGGGGGGAGGAGCAGGCTCGGAAACTTAGTGCCTCCGATCAAGCAGCACAAGGGAATACCTGCTTCCCAGGTCTCTTTCTCCAGGCAACATGCTTCCTTCTCCTTAGCACACAGGACATCAAACCCTATCTCTCTCACAGTGATTCCATTCTGCCCAAGGAGGAGTTGTGAGGAAATCATAGCGGCTCAGGAATCAGGACCTGCAACTTGCTCCCTGTGGGGCTGTGCAACAGGGATTTAGCAAAGCCACCTTTCACAACGCGGATTTGAAACTAGTTTGTGCACTAATTTCTGGGGAGTGTCAAGTTGGAGGTTATAGGCACAGCAAACATTGAAAGGTTTGTTAGTATTTGTAACCAATGTTTTCTCAACTTCTGGGGTAAGACACATTGCCGTGCCTCACTTTACAGTGATGTAGCACATCAGCAATGGAGGAATCAGGAATGGTCTAGTTATTACATAGTCCTGCCTTGAGTGCAGGGACTGGACTCGATGACCTACTGAGATCCCTTCCAGTCCTACACTTCTGTGATTCTGACTCTAATGTTGCCAACTGTACCTGGTGTGTGGATGAAAGTATTAAGATGTATATCTTTCCATCAATATCAAGTGTGCAGAAAGACCATCTATGGTGAGACACAACATGCTCACAGACATTCTCCCAGCAGATGTTTGCTCTCTAGGGATGGGGGTGCCTTTTTAAATGATACTGAAGGCATGAACAGCAAACAGGATCAAAATAAATGGACCACTACTCTCTGAAACACAACCATGCACTTGGCACATGCAACTCCCTAAGTCACTGTGTAATCATATTGCTGTAATCTTCATCCTTCCTTGTTCCATGTCTCCCTTTTCTTTGTCACCCTCACTTGTGGTGTCAGGGCTAAAATTTAGGCTATTCAAAAAACAAAGCAAATTAAACTTTTCTAATAAAGTCAGTTAAACTGAGAGCAATGTAGCTACCTACTCTACTACGTCATTTATAAAACCCAGGCACTTTAATAGCAAGAGAATGAATTGTTAAGGACACCATCAATCTTGTACTATCCACATAACAAACAGAGGTGTTATTCCCATCACGTAGGAATATGCATAATCACAATACAAGGAGCCTGATTCTCCACTGCCCAGCCCCTTGAATAGTCATGTACCACAGTGTAAAGTGGGTATAAAATGCTACGAAGTAAGACTTTATACCCATTTTGCACTCACTTTACC